TCCACTGGTGAGTCGGAAATTCAGTAACTCTCAAAAATCTTATCCTATGGAGACGTTGTACTGTCTATTTGTATTGCGACTGATAAGTCAAGTTAACTCAGGAAAAACCAGATAAAGTCTCACTCATTAAAATGATTTTTATGCCTTATACCTATACTTATGTGTTTATCATATTTGGTCAGAGAAGTAGATTTATGCCTTCGCTTTGAATTCATTTCTTTCACACATATATTTACAGCATCAATATTATCGAACGCAACAATCACAATAAATAATTCAGCCATCGATGTGCAATAATAATCATTGTTGACGCATTTTGGCGTATAACCTTCGAGCGTATGAAAACTGCAATTGCCATATTACGTATACGCAATGTCGCGACGTTTGGATTTGGCAATGAAGTTGGAATTATGCGCGTTCGCACACACAGATTCGTATGTACACATATATGTATGTATAAGAATGCATGCATATGTTTTGTATATGCAAGTAAGTATGTGTCCATCTTGTGAAGCTTGAGCTTGAACTTGGTACTTAAGTATTGTTGAATTGTGGCTGCTGTTGGCAGTAAGTTTGCGGTAAAAAGAAAATTGTTCCAACCTTCGGAGAATCAACTTGGTTCTTGCATAAGGAGGACATTGGGTCTGTGATTAAAAACAAAAGAAAATCCCTTCGTAAATTGTATGGATTAGTGTGAAAGAAAGTAATTAAAAACTGATTGATATGAAATTTGTGAGAATTATTATTCGTTTAATACCACGGTAGCTTTGACAAAGAAAGCAAACGAAAATGAAAACGGGAATTGAAATTAAATTAAATTGCAAATTGAAATAAAAAATGAAAAAGCTATAAAAGGAGCCGCAAGCACAAAACGTTCTCAAGTGTTTTGCCTTAAATAAGAGAGAGAGAGAGAGAAACAATCTATGCCTACAGGAGGATGCGAAAAGCGGCAGCACTTCAAACGATTTCATCTACATCTGAAAATGCTTGCGGGTTTCTCTGTTTGTTTTTTTTTTCTTCACCCCCAAAAAGGCCAAATAGGAAGCCTACAGCATGGCTTTTAAAGTGGCATCATTAATTGCTTGCCAAATGAATTTCAAGAATTTCGAGTTTAATGTGCTGCCCACTTATTTTAAGCGCCGCAATTGTTTTGCACGTACACTTTGGCACATTTCACTTTATTTATGAGACTGCATTTATTTGCTTAACATATTCACTGCGCTTGATTTTGAACAGTCTTCGATGCACACTGGGTTTAAGTATTGTACCTAACATGCATAGAAACAAGTTAACAAGTAGCTGTACTATTTGTGTTTCCTCATGAACTGATTGTACATCAATTTTAAATGAGAAGAATTTATTTAAAAACATAAGGCATATCAATTCGAATATGAATCATATTTAATTTAATCTATTTTATATGGCCAAAGACCTTACATTTTTGAAAAACTTTTTAATATTTAAAAACAAGCTGATTCTTATTTTACTGGACTATATATTGGATGTTTTTGGCAGATACAACAGATGCAACATTTGGTAAATCGAAGGCATATCAATTCAAATATGTATCATATTTCATTTAATATATTTTAAATGGCCAAAAAAAAACTTGTTAATATTTAAAAACAAGCTGATCCTTTTTTTCTGGACTATATATTGGATGTTTTTGGCAGATACAAGGCAGTATAAACAGATGCAATATTGGGTAAATCGAAGGAATTAATTGTAGCGCAGATGCGATAACATATTTGCTCACCATATGCGCACGTTATGAGAGATTATTGGTAATGGTTATGGCATATTACGTATACGCAGCATTGCGTTGTATTATTACCGAATTGGAAGTATACAAAACCTTGACACTTTGCATTTGCAATTGAGTTTTCTCAGCACAATGCTTTGAACTCAACCTTGCGCCTTCTTCTACTTAACACATCAAAAGAATTCCTGGGCCATTCACAATTTGTAAACACCAACAGCCACAAATGCACTAATTATGCACAATAAATACTCGTACTCTTACATACTTGTATATGCATGTAAATGAACGCTTTGTGTTTTTATATTTTTGTTAAAAATTTTGGAGAGGGCGCCAAGCGCTGTCAAAAACATCAATCAGAAAGCCTTTGTGCGCCTGTGAGTGTCATAATCCGTAAATTAATATGCAGCTGCATGTAAATACTTTTGACCTTTCAGTGGCTTTCGTTCGACAGGACAGTCTGCTCTGTCTGCGAGCGTGGCAGATTTCGTCTGTCAGTTGACAAGTGGCAAATGCAATGCAACCGCTTCCACATCGAATTAACTGTCAACTGCATGTGCAGCGCACTGGTTAAATCATTTGGCAATTTTCATTGGCATTGTCAATCAGATGTGATGCAAAATTTTATCATTATATGATTTGTAATTTGTTTATTTCGTTGGACACGCATTTAAAATTGTTCAACAACCACCGCATCGCTGCTGTAGTTGTTCTTCCCATTTTTGGTGAATAATGCCAAAATGAAATGAATCTTTAATCAGGTTTTTGCCTAAAGCGTCGCAAATAAAGTTGTAAGCTGTGGCGACAAACAAAGCAAATACAAATTGTTGTACTTGTATACTATAAAATGACAAATACCAAATATGTACAGCACATTATATACGACTTATGTTACCCATACGCAGCCTGTACTATAAGACAGAACAATATAATTGTTATACTCTACAAGTAGACGTAAATAAAAATGACTGGCTGTGAAAAAAACTGCGAAAAGCGTATTTCAATTAGAGATTGACATTTAATTATAAGTTTAATATGAAACAAATGAAATTATAACAAGAAAGCAATGCTAAAGTCGAGCAGGATCAACTCTTAAATACCTCACACAAAAAAAAATTAATTACATGTACACTCGCACAAAACTAATATACTCTTTTACCCTTTGGGTACAGGGTATAAAAACGGAAAATTCTTTATCGCCAAGTACTATTAAGTAATTCAAATAATCTCTAAATTTAAATAGCTATTAAGCAAATAAATTGATTTGTCTTCGAAGATCTTGCATACCAAGAGTTCTTTATTAAATATTTACAAATGAATTAAATTTAAAATTATATCCATTTGAATTCATTGTTAATAAGAGGGTTTTGGATGTGTGTTTAAACTTTCTTCAGTACCTGATATGAGTTATAGTTAGATTTCAATTAGATTTTGGGCTTAGGGCAACGACGAACATGGGTTGTAGAGGAATTAGGGGATGAAAATGATTTTTGGCACTTTGGAGTGTATTTATAGAAATGATTTCGTGGTGGAGCTAGAAAGCGTGTTTCGCAGCACACCTGGATATATACGTTTATTAGCAATAACAGTAACATTTGTTGAAAGGATGGGCTGAAATGATATTCTTCCTGATAATTTTGATGGAAATAATGATTAATTTTTACCTAAGTAAAGAAACATTTGCTCAATACAACTAACATTGCTGTAGTAATCGACACTTATATACACTTATATATAAATTGCAAGTGCTTTTACAATTTTGTTTAAAATATGTACGGAAGTGGACGCTCCTTCAGTGGCGTAGGGTGCGTAGATAGCGAAAGTGGATTTCAGCTATTAAAGAAATTTCTATATACCTTTTAAGCTGTCATTCTGTATGACACGCCAACATATCAAATATGGAGCCTGTTGAATGGGCACTAAGCTAAGAGCTGCTTTCTCGTGCTATGTGGCTATGTGCCAGGCATCACATTTATTATACATTGGAGAATCAATCAAATCTGCCAAAGCAACTAATTACATATGTACACAAAGCCCTGTATTAGAAAGCACATAATGAAAAAACGTATGCTAGCCTACACAAAGTTATAGCCAATGTAATACCCAAAGATACACACCTACACATATGTATACCAGACATGCATGTGAGTGTGTGTGTGTGTGTGTATTATTTTCGTGAGGAAGTTATGAAGGTTGTGGCTAGAAATGTTTGGCAAGTCGAGTAAGTTCACTGACCCGCAATCTAATGAGTTTGCAATTGCGCAGTGCCTTAAAGTATACAGCAGAAAAACACAAATAGCCAGAGAAAGCGGCACACGCTGCCCAATTTGCAGTGAGCCGCGTGATTGAGCACTCTCTTACTTCTCTCTCCCTCTACACATACTCTCTCTCACACACACATGTGGCGAGGCTTGCAATTAAAAGCAATGACAACAAGTTGCAGCGTTTATCATATAATTTGTGTCTGCGTCAGCGCCTGTATGTAGGCAGCAATACTTTGTTTCCTTTCGAATGAAGTTAGCTTCATGTTCTAATTGAATTAAATGCGTCTTTTTTCTATGCGTTTGTGTGTTGTTCAAGATGGGCGTGGGCCGAACTTTAATTGCAAAATGGTTTTTGTCTTTCTTTTGCCCAATACGCCACAATATAATTCGAAATATATATATATATACACACTCATTGATAAATGTATATGTTGTGTGAAGAACTTTTTATAGCTGGGGGCATTCGCGAGGTTAATGCACACATAAATAAGCATATGTGTGTTTTCCAATATTTTTTCATTTTCCGTACATTTCACAATAAGTAGGTGCCGCATACTTTGCTCGGCTATGCGGATGCGTGTTATATATAGTATATCAAGTATACGTCATGTGTGTGGGCAATAAATGCGACAAAAGCGATTAAAAATCGAACTAAAGTCGCACGAAATTAAAATATTTGAAGTGAATTTTTAATGAGACGCGCAATCGTAATTAAAAATGATTTAAATTTTGCAACTGATTCTTCTTTTTTTTTTTTGTTTTTTTTTTATGGTATACCCCCTTACCGGTAGAGGTATTTGGGCGCCCCTACCATTGTCAAAAGCATGAAAAATGCTGCAATTATGCGGAAGCAATTTTGCGATTCCGTGACACATGTGGCGCAGAATTTTTACAACGACTGGTTCAGAGATGTACAACGGCATGTTTCATTTAGCATTAGACATTTGAAGAATATGTATAGAGATAATGGAACTTACGTCTTGCATTCTGAGCCGGTAGGCGCGCGCAGCTCCAACATTTGTGAAGTCTTCGTTTTGATCAAAAAGAACGAGTTCTTATCGGCAGCCTCTTGACGCACCAAAGTTTCCGAATCAATGGTCATGACGGGACTGACGGGCACAGGCTTATTGTTAGCAGCCGGCGGTATATGAAGATTCTTAAGCAAGTATTTATCGTCCTGCAACAATAGACGGGCGTAAATTAAGATCTGGAAAAGAAACATTTATTTATGCATCCTCACCTGTTTGGTAAGCAATACAATCATATTTTCAAAGAGCAAGCCATGTAGTTGTATACTTGGATTCTTCTTCATGGTCAGATTACCATCGTACATAAGACGATGCTGTGTCAAGTCGAGCTTCTTCAGTTCACTATCCTTGTCCAAAGAGGACTTGTCCAATTTTCTCTGGATGTTTTGCAATCTATTGGAAAATAGGAGAATATAAATATAAATCTAATTACATCTTGTATGGTTAAGAAATATACTTATGCGCATCCTCGGTAGTCTTCACAGCCTTGTTGACCTCAACCAGTATCCTTTTAGTCGACTCCAGGGCACACTGTATGGCCTCCGCTTCACTGGTGTTTTCGGGCAACACCCGTACAGTGACCTTGTACAGATTCCCAAACAACAAGGGATATTTGGTTAGACGTTGCAGTACTGTGGGCAGCAAATCCTTTAGCTCCAGGCGGCGACACGCCTTGTGCGATTCAGATTTGCGCAGCAATTTCTGCAGCTGCTCGTCCTTGTGCCGTTTCTCCTTGAGTGCTTCGAGCGCGATTTTCTGACGCGCACAGAACTGAACTGCATGCTCGCGCAGCTGCTCGCCCGACTGACCATCAAACATGTCGGCGAGAAGGTCACCAATGTGGTTCACCACATGGTTGTGTTCGAGCCGTCGTTGCTTCAGCTTCTGCTCGAAGTTGCCATGCAGTTCGCGCAGCGACAACAGTGCGGGCGGAAAGAGCAACAACAGATGGTCCTGGGACAACAAACCGCTCTCGTACAGTGGCAGGAAAAACAGGCGATCGAGCAGCTTGAGGGTGCGAACATAACTGCGTTCCGTGTGGTAGATTTCTGTAAAGAGCAGAGCATGATTTGCGATTAGCAACTACATATGTACATTCATAGAAATAAGACGGTGCTGTGCTGCTGCTTACCATTGATAATCTCTTGTCGCTTCTTCTCTGCATCAGTTAACGCTGCTAGCATGTCGGCTGCCACCATGGAACTCCAATCGGCCTCATTGAGATCATCCTCGTCGCTACTTTCAAAGTTCCATTGACGTAGCTGGCCTACGGGCCCACTGCCTGCACTGCCCAGACTGCCATGAAACGAATCGGAGTGACTGTGACTATTCTGATGCGCATGTTGCTGTATCTGCAGATGAGGATGCAAGCTGGACGATATGGCGGATTGTGTTGCGGTCGCACCGGCCGCGGCGCCCCCGCCAACCTGTTCCATTGAGGTGCTGGGACTCTCAGAGCCACAGGAGAGACTAGAATCGGAACTGGCTGTGTGGTTGGAATTTGAGAGACCCAAGTCTGGTTGATCATCGCTGTGGGTAAGAAGAGGTTTATCATTATTTTCGGTTCTATGTCTGTTCCTTTAATTTGAAAAGAAACCACTGACACATTTGCACTTATTTTTCTCTAATTAAGATAATTTAAACCCTATAAAGACTGAATAGTATGCTAACACTTTCCGCACAGATCAGATATTGTAAACTAGAGTCTGATTTAATGTTTTATTGGTAACGAAATACATAAATTTATAATAAGAGAAGAAATGAAATTCGTTCACAATACAGCTATTATGACATATCAGCTATGAAATAAGTAAACAATTCATCGCTTGGATCGCACTTGGAAACTAAACTATTTAAATATCTTAAATATGCAAATATCTGTTTCGAGCCACATCGCCTAGTTGGCCTATGTTTTCAACTTCTACCCCAGTCCTGCTCGTAGGTGACATCAAATCGACGCCTACGTCTCGCGAAGACAAGAATGTATAAACACAATACCATGAACTATGCAAAACAAGATTAGGCGCTTCATTTACTTTTGGCCTACTTTTAGGCGGATCTGCGATGACAACAAAATACTTGAAAAAAAATAAATAAATAAAGTAAAGACGTAGCGGGAGGTGGGGACGTGATAAAAAATGTATTATCCACTTTAAAAGCTGCATTTAGTTGGTGACCCAAATTCGCAGCAAATGAGACAAAAGTAACGTCAACAGCAGCATAACATAACTTGACTTGACTTTCAACATTATCTAAACACATACTAGTATATACATATATATATGATGGTCTTATTGTCAGAAAGCCTTGAGGTATGCAGCAAACGTTGTTTTCTCGTCTTTGTCAGTTTCGGCGCCTTTAAGCGCTTGGAAACAAACAACACTTACTTGTCATAGTTGTAGCCAAGTATCTCCTTAAAACTTTTGCTACGCGTGTAACGAATTTTGCTCTTCATTGTGATTGTTGTTGTTTGCCGAGTGATTTTTGTACACTTTTTATTAATACTTTCGTTATCTTATTGTTGATTATTGTTTTTAGGAATTTTCAAAACATGTTTGATGATCACCTATAGTGCAATTTGTATTTATTTCTATTGACATGTGTCTGTGAGCTACCGCTGCCTTTTGTCGCACTGCTCGTGTCAAGTTCAACGCGTAAACTGCCACAAATGCGAATGAGAATGCGAATGCAAGGCAAGGTTCAGCTGACTTGGCTGGGCTGAGCTGCCACTTCGTCGTATACGTAATGTTGATTTAGTGTTCGAATAATAATAGCAATGAAGAAAGTCACACACTCATACACATCACAGCAGTCAGTCAGTCAGTTAGTCAGTCAATTGGACGAACAGACAGACATCAGCTAAGTCAATGCGAGAAATGAACGTGGCCTACTTTGCAGAGCTGACCGTTCGAAGGAGTCAAAGCCAACAGAATTGATGTCATTGCTACCGCTCCTGCTTCTATTGTTGCTATTGCTGTTATTGTTATTGCTGGCTATTGGTGCTTAGCTTACTGCAAGCCATACCCAGTCGCACTCATTATGGCCATTGCGCTGCCTTTGGCCTTCAAACGGACATGAAGCAGCCGGCAGAATTTGTTTACGTTGGAAGTCCGCAACAAGTGGAAAGTTTGCAGCAATTCATGAGCGTGTATGAGTGTGTAAATGCCAGAGTGCATGGAAAAGTATATTGATGATATAATGAAGTGCAGCTCCAATCAATTTCAATGGGCTGTTTGATTGTAATATATAGTATACTATGGCATAAATTGCCAATTGAATGAATGCAAAACTGTGTTGGCCAGAGCACAACAAATAAATGTCAAATCCCTATTAATGACTAGAAAATACGAAATTCTGCAGCAACTTTAATTCAACTATAAGTTTTTATATAGACTATCATTTCATCACAAGGGACTAACATATTCAAGATGATCATTGTTGTCGTTAATTTTTCTCTCTCTGTACGTCAAGGCAGGCATGAAGAGGCGATGCCTGGACGAGTCATAACAACCAGACTTATAAGATTACACAACGCAAAGAAAACAATAGTAGAGTCTTCAAGGTAAATTCATAATACAATAGCGAGAGTGTGTGGCAACGCCGAGACACAGCAACGGAAATGTACCATAAACATAGACACACACAAACACGCACACACTATGTCTCAAATATTCCGACGCACTGCAGGTTAATTTATATAATTAATATCCGGTGACTAAACGACTGATTGCCGTTACCGTTGTGTTACCACGGTGCGCAAAAACGAGAGACAAAAGGCGTTTGGTCGGCAAAAATTATAGCGTGGCATACTTTCAGGGTGCGGCCCAGTTGTTAGCCCTTCGATTGACTGGGAAACAAGGAAAGCAAATTAAAGAAAAAGAAACGAACACGAATATTAAGTTAAATGCGCAACTCAACCAATAATTTTAATATTCAAGGCCCAACAGCTACGTTCAACAGAGCCAAAGGCTTTTAGTGGCTTCCCCTCTTTAAGCCACTCTCGTTCGCTTCGAGTTTTTCAATTAAATTAAAATGTAATTGCCTGTTGCCTGATTTAACCCTTTTTGCTAAAAGACCACCCCCCATTAGACTAGGATAAGGCCAATCCACAAAGTATGCCAATTTATTTCGGGTTGTGCCACACACACAGGCATATGTGCGGGCACCTTGTTATCTTAATGTAATCAGAAGCTACTGCTGTTCCTCTATTTTGGCATCAGGAGCGTGGCAGACGACAAAAAGAAAACTTTGTTGCTAATATTTGTCACGCGTAAACCAGCAAGATGCTCTGCCAAGTGTTTTGACTTTTCCAAGTAACTCGGCATCGTTGTGTGTGAGTTGGTTCTTGGAAATATGAGTGTGTCTGTGGTTAGTCCGCTCTCGAGTACCCCCATTAAGTTAGAAAACCAAGCAAGTTGGTGAGAAAATACAAATTAAATTATTGAATTGGAAATGCTGACTTTAAAGACTTTGCTTATCATTCTGATGAATTGTCAATTATGCGAATTAATATAAAAGCAATCTAAGGATACTTATTTTAGAATTCTTCGAACAAGTGCTAATAGGGAATTATACTATACGGTTTCGTGAACCGCAGGTATCTCAACAGGGAGGAGAATAAAAGCAATAACTGAAAACATATAAAACCGACAAGCAGTTTAAGCAAAAGTTCATAAAAATGATGCCTTTAGTGTTTAGTTTTTATAATTTTTATTCGCAAATTTACGCACGAAATATTGTTTTTGAAATATTCCGCACAAGGATCATTGTTTTGTTCATAAATCAAAAGCGTTTCTCCATTTGAAAAAACAACTGATGGAAACTTTAATTCTTGAAATTTTATATGGAATGGTATTTTATAATTAAATAAACAATTCGACCACGAATTAACATTTTAAGTAATGCAAATATAGTACTCCTATTCCACTCAAATCAAAGACAAATGAACTAAGGGGAACAACAAAGAAAATCTTCAAATAATATTTTTCTTTGCATTGAAAATAAACTATGCACCAATAAAAAGCAGTGGAAAAATGGGTATTATCAAATTTAAGAAAAGTGGCCATAAATGCGATTCCACTAATTATAATTACGAAATTCAATTTATAAACAATATCACCAATAAATAACAGATTTTGAAGGTGAGCACATAAGCGATTCTCGGGCAACGTGTGCGTCCAAGAATCAAATAAGATATGGATGGATGGGGCCAGACACACAGGCAGCCAAACAAAAAAGCAAAGAAAAAATAAAACACGATGAAACAACGAAACTAAGACGCCACACGAAACGTCGGCGATTGTCCAAGTACGCCGAGGCATGAAATGCGTTCATATTTTCAAATTTTGATACATTTCCAGAGGCACTCGTGCCACCAACTACACAATCGAATAAGTTCCTTACACGGCCAACTGATTTAAGTGGTAATTGAAAATTGGGCCCGTGCCGTGGCTGCCATTCAATGTACCTTTGACTTTTTGCGTTGGATGCTCAAGGTCATGAGTGCTTCTGTTTTTTCTTTATTTCCTTCGAGGCTTTGCTTCCGTTTTGAAAACTCTACAATGTTGTGTTTTTGTTATTATTCCTGGATGACAGAAGAACAGTGCAAGTTCATTGAAAACAATGCGGGAGCAACATTTTTTCTAGCTGTTGCGTTGCTTTATGTATAAATACATAACAACAATTGTGGAAATGAAATGATCATCGGCAAAAATCTTGAATTATTTGTTAATATGGCACGCAGCACGCGCTGGACTCTGTGTGATCTGGGACCGCCTGTGTAGGTCATGCGGTTTCGCTGTCGTCTTCCCACCCGCATGTGAATGACTTTCTCAATGAATCTTTGCGAATCCAATTCGGATTCGTTTGTTTACTTTGCTCTGCCAATGATTTACGGTCAAGTATTAAAAACATTTCTATTCGTCGTCTGCTTGCTGTTGTTGCTTTTATTGTTATTATTATTGTTGTTGTGGCGCTGAATTGTTTATCATCTTGGCAATAAAGTCTTTCATTTTGGCCAATAAATGTATTCAAATGTATTGCATTAAATATCGTTCCTAGTAATTCGGTGTTGGAGGTTTCACTGCTCTTACTTAAGCATTTAATCGAAAAAAATCATAATCAGCAATGCAACAAATTTACAATATATACATTTTTTTGACAGTTTGAATGCCTGCATTAAGGAAACTACTAAAGCGGGAGCGAGGGGCGTAAAGAAATAGATTTCAAGCAGTCAGTATGGAAGAAAGATTTATCTAGATTTATAGAAAGATCTAATATTCCTTCGTCAAATAAGTTTTGGAAAAGTCTAAGATTTAGTGATATCTCATATTTTTTACTCATACATCCGGATAGTACTTAGTGACTTTAGACATTTTTAATGACAGTTTCGACATGGTATATCTATCTATATAGAAATCTCTTGCCACAGTGTTCGTCCGTGATGCACTCCGAAACTAATTAACCGATCTTAATAAATTCTTTTCATTTTGCCAGATTTGTTTCAATTTCGGACATATGTAGGATTGGTTTTATCTTTAATAATAGCGTCAATACTTTATTTGTATTCGTGAAAAAGCAGCATGACGAAGTTTTGATTGAGTTTCCAGGCGGTTGAAATACCATAACTAATTTTTCTTCAAAACTACTAAGATCACGGTCGATTGATTATAAAGAAAATGCATATCATTAGGTCAGATAGCAAGTACATTTACGAACCAAACGTTGGAGATGAGCCCCAGGCAGCTATTATTAATATACATACATATATATATTTAATAATTGATTGATTTTGCAACACAATTAAATATGATTTAAGGACCTATAATGACTGTAAATAATCGCCAAATCACATAACATTCGTAGACACTCGGCCTAATGCGTACTAAATGCAAATGCAGGGACTTCTTTGAGAATGTGCTCTCACACAATCAGGCGTGACCTCAACACAATTGCCGACATGTAATTGTAGCTGCCAACAGATTTATACAAACGTAGCAGTATGTACGAACATGCACGAGCATGTATGCTATGCACTAGATTGTGATTTCTCATTTTAATTTTTGAATAAATGCGCACGACTTCTTTTTATACTCGAGCAGAAATGAAATTTGCAATTTAAATGGAAAATGCCAAACGATATGAAGGCGGCAACAGCAGCGGATGTGGCGCCAATTGATGTCGAACGCCCATGTCTGGTTGAAAGGTAACATTTTGGGGTCTAAAACAAATTTACAAGAATGTACATACTATACGCAATTGTGCTCAAATTATTAGTCAGGTGAACGAATTTCTTACAACGCAAATACGAATTGTTTTCCAAAAGAAAATACATATGTATTTCCGCGTGATCGCCTTGTCAATCAAAGCGATTAAAACGAGAATTTTTACTCCAGTAGGCCCCATGAAAGACAAACAAGCCACACACATGAAATTCTCGAATGCCCACCACATATGTACATATTTTGACGAATATTCAATTCCATTCTGCGTTAATTATTTTGCCACAAACGCATGCACACATCCGCACTCTGCACAGGTAAACACGCCCAGGTGCCCAGGTGGGTGTATATAGTGTGGGAGATGTGGCAACGATAAACAAATTATCGAACGAAAAAAGAAAAAATTTAAATGATATAAAAACAAAAAGTCAAACGAGACGCAATTGTCAGTTGGAAGGCGTTGACGATGATGACGTCGATGGCAATGGCAATGCCAATTGTGATGAGTTCATAGGGAAAATGACAACAATTTTCAATTTCCGTAGCCTGGACATGTGACGAATTCGTGTGAGTAACCATCAGGCCTGGTCCGATCCGGTCAGGTTCTGCCCGCCCCGACAGGACAACCCCCGGGCTACTTTCATTCTCTAATTCAATTTAGCAAATTAGCAGACGACACTGCAAAAAATATATATATATACCTATATACCCATGTGGATTAACGGAAAAACAAGCTCCGCAAAATAGTATGCTTTCTTATTAAGGAAGTTTTATGATTAACTTTTTGAAATAACTTGGCCAAGGGCTTAGCCACACTGCAGTTCTTCTCTAATGTGAAATTCTTGGAAGGCTAACTGGGCCATGGAGAGCGAGAGCAACCTTAAAAGTTATTAGACCAAGTGAAAACTGAAACTGAAAACTGAATTGATGAGTTGAGGGTGTGGGGTGGGTTGGGATTGAGAGTCGGGTCGACCCGTCTGGCAAAGGTCTCCCGCACACATTTAACTGCGTTGGCATTTTTCGGATTGCTGCTGATTGAAAAGATAATAAATGAGTTGTACCATAAAACCTGAAGGCTTGTGAAACGCAATAGTGGGGGGACTAGAAAATTGAACGATGTGTGAATGGGGAGTGCGCGTAAGCTCTGATAGATACGGGGGGCATTTGAAGGACTTCAGGCGTGTTCTTTATGTTACCAATACATACAGCACAAAAAAGAGAAATTCAACACCAATGAAAAACACTTTAAAGAAGTGCCACAGACTAAATCCGGCATTCATGAACATTTTGCGACCAACTCAACCGTTATCAGGCAACAGCAAACATACCAGGCAGCCACTACTAATGGCCCAAAAAATGTGTGGCTTTATCAGTGCCTTTGACAACTACCAGCAAGGCACGAAGCAGTGGGTTGACGGGGAAAGCGGGCAAGTCGTAATCGAATTTGTTTCCATTTGCGGCTCACTTTTATCTCTTACGCCTTTTTTGGCTTTTAGAAGGCGCAACAACAGTTCCCACAGGCTTCGCTATCCCATAAAATGTTTTGCTATAAATTGTTAACCATTTAAGTGGCGTAGTTCTGAACTATTTATTAAAGGAAGAAAAACTTGTAGTTGGAAACACACAACTTTTTACATAAGTAACCTTTTGAAATTTTAATCTCTATTGCCACAATTCATCCATACAAGGTTATATTCTATTCTATATTCTATTTGCGTTCATTTTGGAGTATATACTAAATATTGTCTTTGAATTAATACGCCCATTTCAATTACATTCTTTTAACTTCTAGGCCATTAAACTGAACAAGCTATTAAAGGCAAATATGTACATGAATTTTAATATCCAAAGCACATATCCGCATTTTCTGTAGTCTGTGCAGTCTTTTTAATCCATAGAGAGTTACTGCCATAAAATATTTACACTCGAAATGCGTTTAAAGTGAATCTAATAGTTTATTTGACGAACAGAATGCATTAAAGCCAAATAAGACAAGCAAGCTGGGTAGCCGAGTTGCTATAACCAAGCAATGGAAAACGTTTGCATTAACACGATGCGGCGCACAGCAAAAGGAGCATAGGGGCAAGATGGAATTAACGGCAGTTGAAGTGGCGAAAGAGCGAAGCGCAAGGAAGTGCTTCGCCCGCAGCTTTCTCGTATCCTTCGAACGCAATAATTTGAAACAATTGACGCACTGGGAAAGGAGGCGGCTTTCAGTCGCATATGCGCGCCTGTTATGTGTGTGAACTCTTTTCACTCGGCGAACGTTGTGCCAATTGTTTTTAGTCACATATGTACGACGAAAAACCCTTAATGGATATAGCGCGCGATTTTGATTCGACCGTTGACAGAATCGACGAGCTGGCGCACGGTAGCCCGTGATGTTTTCAACTAAAGTCGCAGATGTTGGCGTCGAGCCAGTTGGGCCCATCGAATTGACCAAATAGATGCTTTGCTTTTTCTTTAAACAATTCGTGGGAAATTGTCGGAAAGTTGGCGAGAGAACAGTTTCCCAGTATTTGGGAAAATGCAGAGAGAGCGCTATGAGCTTTTCAAAGCTTTTGTGAAGCGGCAGAGTCTGCGCAAACGACAAACACACATGCAACAGGTCGCACGTGCAACAATAATTGGGGGGCGGGGCAACCAGAGTTTATTTGTTTATCTTTCATCCCTAAAACGGGCACAGTTGGCCGCCCAAATGCAGGTGTCCGAGCAAAGAAGATATATTTCCAAAAAAAACAAGGTGAAGACCAAGAAAACATGTCATTTGTTGTTTTGTTTCAAACATAATTTCTCTAATTAATAACAAGAAAGGAATGCTAAAGTCGAGCAGGCTCAACTCTTAAAAACCCTGTACCACCCTGAGATCCTTGCGTTCATACAGACAGACATGGACGGACATGGCGATATCGACTCGGCTTGTCATCCTGATCAAGAATTTATATACTTTGTGGGGTCTGCCAGGCCTTCTTCTGTGTGTCACATGTACAGTCGCACAAAACTAATATACCGTTTTACCCTTTGGGTACAGGGTATAAAAAAAAGTTACGGTACTCACTTGGGACGTGACGGCAAACTTGGATCGGAGGTCTTACGACGACTGTTGCGATTACGCTTGCTTGTTAAACGCTCCTTATACGACTCGGACCGATTCACCGATACGGGTGCACTCTTGTGCTGCGGGTGTTGATGGTAGCTGCAATAAAATACAATTATGTGAGCATTTCTCTGCTAGATTTTTTATTAAATTCATGCGTATTCACTAACCGTTCCCTGCGCGCATCCTTGTTCTGTGCATCTGCGTCCTGCGCATTCAAATCCCCAGAAGTGGCACCGCTCAGTCCCACAGCACCCAACAAGCTGCTCACCAAAGCGGTAGAACCTGTGCTGGTTGTTAGTTCGGAGGGTCCAGCTGTGCAGCTGCCACTGCCGCCAATGCTGTCGTTGGCGCTGCTGGCGGCATGGAAGGAGCTCTGTAGGTCGCTGCTATTGAGGGCCGAACTATTTGCGGAGGCATTGCCATTGGAGCGCAATGAGATGTTGGCATCCGGCCTGCGGTCTGACGGTTGGCGCACTATCGAGGAATTGTGCAGGCGCTCTGAAAGAAACCATTTAATGGAAAACTGCATATTAAAAATCGTGATCACAATTAATTGTCAAGCACAATTAATAAAAGAGTTTGTGTGCCATTTGAATGTTCGCTTGTTTTTCCATGCAGCCTATTTCTTCTTTTAATTTCAATTAATTTAAAATCTTAACTATATTAACTAATTAACTATATTTGTATGCAATCATAGACCCTTAGTGTTATGCCCTTGCTCACCACCACTGTGTTGCTTATAGAGCTCAGCTCTCTTGGCTGCGCCGTTGTGCGCCAGCGCGTTTTTTCGTTTCTTCAAAGAAGCCGAGGATCCGGTTGATGATGCTGTCGAAGAAGAAGACGTCGACGATGCTGACTTGCCACCCGATTTTCGATTTCTATAAATGTTTGTGGTCTCATTGATCTTGGCCGCAACTCTCGAGGTTAGAGATGGGGAAGATGCTTTTGTATTGAGGGATTTTCGTTGTTGCGGCTGCTGGTCAATAGCGCCTATGGTTTCAATGTACTCGCCCTTGGGGACCTCCTCGGATGAATAGAAGGCCTCATCTTCAAAGTTTCCGCTACTCTTGCTGCTGTTCGAACCATTGCGCTGCACTTTGCTCGTTGCGCCGGAATTGTAGAAGGAGTTCTTTAGCTGCGCCTTCTTCACAAGCACCACATTCTTATCGGTCTTGGCTGCATCGCATTCTTGGGGCGCATCGGCTACAACACCCGATTCCGGCGTGGTCGTAAACTTTAGGGCGATGGGACGTGGACGTACCGAAGCGGCGGCTATAACTGAGGAGGCGGTCTCAGCCAACGACTTGCGACGTATGAGAGCAAAATCGTCGGTGTTGAGAAACTTCTTGTTGCTCATAACGAACTTTACGAGCGCCTGCAGGTTGAGATTTGAGTGCCCTCGGGTGTTCTTAGCTTTATCGGACTCGGGCACTTTCTCTTTGGATTTATCCTTCTTGATTTTCAATTTAGAGCTGGAACTATCCAACCAGACATCCGAATGTGCCGTCTGCCCTGCATAGACTTTTCGGGCGCTGCGCGAACGCTTCAGGCTGCTGCGCCGCTGCTGAGAGAACAGCCCATGAGCTGCGCCAGATGCATCTGCCACCTTCGTCTTGGAGGAGCTCTTTTCGATCCGATTGTGCTTGTACTTGGGATCGGTGAGCAATATGCGGCTCTTGCTCGGGGACCGCATCAGGTCGTTGTTGGCTGCCACGGCATCCCCTTCGGAGTCGTCGTTCTCATCACTATCGCTATCACTGCTGCTGGTGGTGCTGATGTCGCAGTCGTCAGCGTCGATTTCGCTGGTTGCCGGCATTTTGTGCTTCTCAGAATTTTCCGTTGAGCTTTGTCGCTTGCTCCGAAAGCTTTTGTAGAAGGCCTTACGCTTTTGCTTTGGCTCGCTCTTGAGCGTTTTTAGTGTTGTCTTTGCCGATTTGTCCGAGGCGTTGCTCGCCTGGCCCACCACAGTTAGTGGTATGCTCAAGACGCTACGATAAATTTCATTGGGTCCACTGCCGACGGTTTCGATGTCTGATTGTCTGAGTTCTTTGCGTTCCATTAATTCGTTCTCTTCCTCCTCGTGGGACTCTTCCTTTAACTGCAAATTGGCCGCCTGTTCCGCTTTAAACAAAGCATGTGGCGATTTGGAGCGTCTTCGTGTCGGACGCTGCGGAGCAAGCAATTGGTCCTGGGGCTTATCCCCATCCTCTGGTTTCTCTCCAGCCTTTTCTTGTTTCGATGGCGGCGTCTGTTTGCGCCGAAAACTGGAGCGTCGAAATTTTTGAAACTTGGACAGCTCGCCGGTGGCCGATTCGGTGGCATCCGTAGATGTTGTTGTTGAGTTTTCGGTGGCATCGTTGCCACCACTGCTGCCCAAACGAAACCACATATTATTTATGGGCTTCTAAGTTCTTCAAGCACAACAAAGTCTTTACACTCTTTATACATTTGTCAAACGCTCACTCTCTTTTACTCTCTTACAAGACATTTACACTGTTAAAAAAAAGTGTAATTATTCATTTCTATTTATCCAATTCGCAAATTCGTTTGTGTTTTATTTTCGCAAGTTTATCGCAAGTTCTGCAGTTCGTGTCGTTATGTGTTATTAGCCACATTTGCTTCGTTGGTTGGTTCCCTAAAAATGCGAGTTCAAAATTCGTATTCGTATTCGAAAATGCCCCAAACGTGCACTGACCATTATGAGATATGTACTATATATAGTAGATGTTGCCAAATGCTGTTGTCGCCGCCATTCGAGCGCATTAATTTGTTGTTTATACATTAAATGTTCTTTTTATTTTATTTATATTCGTGTGCCTAGTATAGGAAACACAATTTTAAACTGAAAATTTCGTCGTGCAGATTTCATTTTATGACAGTTTGTCGCAATGCGAACGAAAATGAATGAGCGCCTAAAGATATATACGAGCAACAGCTGTACCTACATAGTACATACATATATGTATGTATATATAATTATCCACAATGTAATACACGCTGTAGATATTAGATGGGCGCTTCTTATAGCAAAGTTCAAGGTTGAATATCTTACATTTTACAAATAAAAGATAACAATATTGTAAGATATACACATGTATTTGAGGAATTGAGGAATGAGGAAAACTGGCAAATGAATCACAACAAATAATAATGGCTCGCAAATAAATGCATAAACAAATTATCTTCAAACATATGTATATAATGACAACATTAACAATAACAACGACAACAGCACAATGGCAATACAGTTGGTTTCGGCACAAACGTTCGTCGTTAACCGCGTTTAAAAGTGTACTGAAAACGGCAATAAAGCAAAAAAGCACACGATACATGGTGCGCAGAAAAAAGGTAAGACACGGCGAGGGGCGGGACGTTAGACAAGGTGGCCAAAATCAGCTGTCATAGCTAAATGACTAAATGACTAAAACAGAAAGAACGCGCAACCGTTATAAAGTGTGCTCAAAAATTGAGCGAACACCGAAATATCTGCGAGATATTCACACACATACTATCTGGAAAATAAAAATACAAGTGGCAAGGCAAGTACAAGGCATGATATATCAATCAAAGCGTAGAATCAAAAGCCGAAAAGAGTAAGAGAAACGAAAATTTGAAGAGCTTAGGCCACTTAAACACATTTCTGTTCGTATGTACGAGTATATATCGAGCCAGGTAGCCAACAGGTAAATATCAGTTATAACGATTGATTGCGATTACCAATGATGTCATCATTTGATTTAAACAATATGTGCGCACTGCCCCCTTCGAGGTGGAGAAGGTACCTCATGGGTAGGTGACTGTACAAGTGCTGCATAAATTACAACTGAAAAGTTGAAGAACGATAATACCAGATATACTCGTGCATACTATACTGTATGTGAGAGTTGAGTATACGCACACGGAAGCAATAACCATAAGCCATCGCTATAAAGTCTCCATTGCTTAGGGCCATGTGTCATTGGGAGAGGCCTATAGACGAGGTCGAAAACTCCAAAGTACTATCAAAAATTTCTATCTACAACAACAAAGGCACACTCACTAATTGCGTATAATTTCATTCTATATTTATCAGCTAATGTTATCGGCTTGTTAGCAAATGTTGTCCACCGATTGATAAGCAAAGAGTGCGACCATCCTACGCAAAAATTTCGCAAATTCATTTTCAGCCATTGACTAAGTACTCGAAATAAATAATAAAAATAAAAAAGATATGCCCACACGTTTATCGCCTCGAGTGGTAAGCGAATCATTCGCTCACAAAACGAATAACACTAATTTGTAAGATCCGTCAAAACTGTTGCCGTGTTGCAAGGCGACGCGGCAAAGCGGAAGAGGCGGCAAGTGACAGCAGCAACAACAATCAGTCTTCAAAACAAATTCAAGCAAATGAGACAAAAATGTATGTACATATTTTTCAGAATCCATTAAAAACAAACGAGTATACAAGTATGTATGTATTCGTGGTGTATAGTATGTAAATAAGCAGCCTCGTGTCAGTTCATTGTTTGCGGAAATAGACATAGAGAAGCAGATAAGTGATCAATTTAGTCATAGAAGTGTTAAAAAGGGAATAGCTTTCAGTTTTATGGCGTATTGTACGCCCACCTCAGATAATTCCAGGAATACTTGTAAATCTCAAATAGCCTTTTAGTTTGATCAAATCTGATAGGCATTGAAGATAGGTGTTGGGATTGGTCACACTGAAATAAAAAGAGGATATGACAGAACAAGAAATCCAATAAATTTGAGACAGAGCGAGTGTAGCTTTTCTGTTTACAATTTTGGTAGGACAAGGACTATGCTAGTACTCTTCATTTCCTTTTTTTTTTTTTTTTTAAATCGCCCCACACTTGTGCACAGTTTAATTGCATTTGCATATACAATGTACAGGCAGCAGCCATAAATGTTCATCGGGTATTGGCAATGATGAAAGCGGTGGCTTATCGCTTTCAACTTTTCGCTTTTAAATGCAATATGGCAGCAAGGGAGAAAACAGAACATGAACATGAACTGAAATAAATGAATTAATGGTCTCATCTGTGCGGCTGCAATGTTTTTTCAATCATTAAACTGATTAACCTTGTGCTTTTAGTGTCAAGCGACGACATGGAGCAGACTAAAGTGGACGCAATCTATTTTTTTCTTTAAAAAAGTATTTGCAGAGTACATCGCAAAACTCATCTAATTATTATTTGAAATGAATTCTTGTTGGGCTGTGGGAGAAAACAAATTCTATTAGCAGTGCTTGCTACTTGTTCCTTCAAATTTCCGATATACGAGTACACTGCACGATATTAGTAGGTTAGAGATAAAATGCCCTCCTATGGGGGTTACGCGTGCTCTTATCAAATGGGCCCATATGGCCTATACACGTATAATGCTTTAGACAGCTGTGAACACGATAACCGTCAAACAGCACTTCAACACTTAAGGCTTATACAATAAGTATGGCACGTAGTCGCACTGCAAGGTACGTTCCAAAGTAAACAGGACTTTTT